ATTTCCTTTACATATTCTAACTTATATAGTTTTATGTGAAAAGTAAATAAATTATAGAACTCTAACTTTATAGGAAAACACATTGTGTCTTGGGAGCTATTTCCTTGTCACTACACAGGCAGCATACTTTTTTTTCTTTTCTCAAAGCAGCACTGTGTTTCAGCATAGTGACGAGTCATCATTTAACTAATCCCCTATTAATGGACATCTGGATCGTTACCATTTTTGAAAGTACTTTCGAGAAAGACATCCTTTTACTTATGTCTCGGCATACTGTGTGAGGGCTTCTGTGGGCTACATTCCTAGACATCAGAAGACAGGATGCAATTTAGCAAAGGGAAACAAAGCGCTCTCCCAAAAGGATACCCTTGTTTCCATGTCCGCTCCAACAGTCAGTGGGACTGTCCACCTGCTTATACCTTTGCCAACACTGTGCACTGTCAGTCATTTTTATTTCACTAATCTGATTTGTGAAAAATGGTGTTTTGTTTTCATCTGCATTTTTGATACTCCAGTGAACATCTGCTCAGAGGTTTATTGGCTTTTTTCTGCTAACTGCCTTTCAAGTTCTCAATATTTTAAGTGCATTTTAAAATTGCTTTTTATTTGTCATGAAGAGACAATTCCTTCCCAATTAAGCTGTGGTTATGAGGTCTTGTTATTCCTACCACTTAAAAGATGCTTTGTGGGGATGGCTGGGTAGCTCAGTGGGTTAAACCTTGGCCTTCAGCTCAGGTCATGGTCTCAGGGTCTTGGGATCGAGCCCCGCATCGGGCTCTCTGCTCAGTGGGGAGCTTGCATCCCCCTCTTTCTCTGCCTGCCTCTCTGCCTACTACTTGTGATCTCTCTCTCTGTCAAATAAATAAATAAAATCTTAAAAGAGAAGATGCTTTATGCAAGGGGCTTTACTTTGGGGTGATAAGGGTGTTCTGGAATGAGATACGTGGTTGCATGACATTGTGAATGCATTAAATGCCACTGAAGTGTTAATTCAAAATGGTTAGGTTTTTTTAAAGATTTTATTTATGTATTCAAGGGGGGGGGAGGGGCAGAGAGAGAGAGGGAGAGAGAGAATCTCAAGCAGACTCCCCCTGAGTGCAGAGAACCCCACGCAGGGCTCCAGCCCACAATCCCAAGATCGTGACCGGAGCTGAAATCAAGAGTCAGACACCTAACTGACTGGGCCAGCCAGGCACACCTAAAATGGTTAGTTTTTATGTTTATGTTATTGAATTTCACTTTGATAAATTATTTTTTAAAAAGATGCTTTATGAAAAAAATTTCAAAATAAAAATAAAGAGGGGCGCCTGGGTGGCTCAGTGGGTTAAAACTCTGCCTTCGGCTCAGGTCATGATCCCAGGGTCCTGGGATCAAGCCCTATGTCGGGCTTCCTGCTCAGCGGGGAGCCTGCTTCTCCCTCTCGTCCCTGCTCATGCTCTCTGTTGCTCTCTCTGTCTCTCTCAAATAAATAAATAACATCTTTTTAAAAAATAAAACAAAAATGAAAATATCCCTTATGCTAATTTCCAATTGATTGTCAGTGGCAGAAATTCCAAACTGTGTGGCTTAGAGTCCCTGCTAAGTAACTGTTCACATCCCCAATCTACCCGCACGGTGAACTCGGATTTACTCAGGACTTCCATATCCATGGGATATTCCATTTCCAAAACGTTTGTGTCCGTTAAAGATGATGTATGAAGATTCTGAGATCTTCCTGAAATTCCTTTTCTACCTACTTCTTTCAAATGTCTCCTTCCCAGTGTTTTAATATTTTTTAAAAAATGGTGCTGAATTTCTCTCCTGTGCCTGCCACATGACATGGCATTTCTCAATCATTTTTCCTTGTATCCTTCTGGAAACAAATGTTTAAAAAAGAAGATGATGATGTTGATGATTTTGGGTGATGCTGACCTTTGAGGACCAGAAAGAACCCTGATCTTCTCCCGCACGGGGCCAGCTGCTGTTGGCATCGCACTTCCTTCTTTCAGGTGAGGTCCCTAATGGGTTCTCACCTGTTGCTCTAGCCTCTGGGCCTCTGTTCTTTCCGGCCATACCCACAAGGCAGCCAACCTACAGGTGGAAAGGGGCATCCTCTAGGGCTGATTAGGTAGGAGTCCACGGCCAGGGCTGCACCTGGGCCCAGTAGTGCCAAGTAGAGGACGGGGTCAGAATTAGGCTCATGGGTTGAGTCCCACCCCATCCTGAGCACAAGCTCTGTAACTGCTCTGATCCTCAGTGGGATATTACTTGAGAAGCGGGAGAGTTGTTGAAGATGAAGGTGGAGCCCGGTGTAGAGGTGATGCACCATGATCTGTATCTGTCACGAGGAGCAAACCTAGGGAGCCCTGGGCCTAGCAGCACAAGGGCCAACCACAGACGTTGACCTACTTCAAGATGGATGAGCTGCTGCTCTGAGATGAGGAGCTTTGGATGCCCTGGGCTCAGTCCTTTGGCCCCTCCTCTATATGCTCGTCCCCTCTGGAATCTTCTCTCGTCTCATGGCTCTAAAGCACCATGTGCTCCCGACCTCAAATGTGGACCTCCAGCCCAGGCTCTCCCCCGAACTCCACTCCCCTACCAAGATGCCAATGCCAGGGCGGCAGGAACACGGCTGTCGGCATCCCCACCTTCAGCACCTCGGACAGAACCTGGCTCAGGTATGGGCTGGGTAAACACTGAGTGAACACATGAATGCCATCAGGTAAACTTAAAAACTTTAGGAAGCAAGAGTAAGGCAAATCGCACAATGAGGGGCCCCCGTTGGCTCAGTGAGGAGAGCCTGTGATTCTTGATCTCAGGGTTCAGTTTGAGCCCCACAGTGGGTATAGAGATTACTTTAAAAAAATGATAAAATCTTTTTGAACATCGCACAATTGATACTATTCAAGTGAAAATACGTTTTTTTACGCAGGAGGGAAAGATAGGAGAGTTTATAAGGCATCAGCGACTTTGCGGGGTCCTTCCCTGGGTCTCGGGCCCAGAGCTCTCGCTCCCTCATCTCCGTGCAGGGCTGGGCTCAGAGGCAAGGGCTCTGGATTCACATCCTGCCTCTGGCGACTTCCCAGCCACGTGACCCTGAGTGAGACTTACTCAACTCTTCTGCACCTCGGTTTCCTTCCCTGAGTAGTGAGGGATAGTAAAGGCAGCCAAACTGCTCGGGGGTCTGTAAGCTGGGACTTAAAGAAGATGGGGACGGAGAAACTGAGGGAGGCATCACACCGGCGGGAAGCTGTTAGCACTTACCGGCACATTTTGGTGGTAGAATTAAAAAGTTTCACTTTGTAGCCGCTGTTGCAAACGAGCAGGAAGAGCTCCTTGGTGAGCGGTGGGTACCAGACCATACAGGTGGGATAGTTGCCCTGGTCGGTCCAGTGAATGTCTAGCACTTCCAGGTTGTCTCTGCAGCTCTTAAGAAGATTATATTCAATCTGCAGAGGAGGCCAGATAGACACACATGAGGCTTGAGCCAAAGAAGGCAGTCAACAGTCCTGTTCTGGGGGACAGTACTTGTCCCCCTAAGAGAAGACTTGCCTAGACCCTCACTCCTAACAGGCTCCCCTGATGAGCGTTCCTTATGAGCAAAGACAATGAGCTGCTCTAAAAACACGACGCCACTTAACCCTCCTGACTCCCCTGCCAAGTCATACTGTTGTGCCCATCTTACGGGTTAGAAAGCAGAGGTTCCGAGAGGTTCGGTGGGTGGCTCAAGGTCACATAGCTAAGAAGTGGTAGGATGAGAATTCAAATTTAGGTCCAACGGACCCCAAAATCTGAACTCTCACAGTTGTGTCCTACCGTCTCCCTTACCATTATCTTGGGAACTCTTCAAGGGTAGGAATACATTCATACCTAATCTCTACACTTGACAGTCATAAATTGGTAGCTTGCTGAATTTCATCCATTGGCAGGTTTTGGTGGCCAGACCATAACGAATGGATGACTGGACGGCCAATGAAGGAGAGATGGGAATGGAAGAAAGGGAAGGAGCGAGGAACAAAGTTTAGATGCACAGATACAGATCTTCTTTGACTCGTGGTGCGGTTACGTTCCAATAAACTGTTTTAAGTTGAAGCAGTCATAGGCAAAAATGCACTTAATATGCCTCCCCTACCGACCCCCGCAGCCTGACCTGGCCCACCCTAATTGTGCTCAGAACGCTGACATGAGCCTACAATTGGGCAAAGTCACCTACCATGAAGGCTGTTTTATAACGAAGTGTTGACTACCCCATGTAATTGATTGAACTCTGTCCTGAGCGAGACAAACAGAACGGCTGTGTGGGTGCAGCTGGTGGCCAGTGTGCTGGAGGTTCACCCTCATGGTCACACGGCTGATGGGGAGCTGTGGCCACTGCTCACCATCACACCAGACGATGGGACCGCAAGTCACGAGCCCGGGACAAGACCCCAAATCAAATGCCAAGCGTAGTTTCTACTGGAAGGAGTACCGCTTTCATGCATCCTTGAGACCAAGTGTTGACTCAGAGAGCTTTATGTTACCTCACTGTACATTCATCTTTTCCAACAAGGACCCAGACTGGGGGCCCGGTTCTAGGCCAGATGCCAGGGACACAACAAGAATGAAACACAGGGCTGAGGTAAACGGACATTGAACAGCTCACCAAGAGCCTGTCCCTCCCGAGGCTCAGCAGTCTTGGCTCGTTGCTATCCAGATGAACCCCAAACAGGAGACTGCGGATGCTTTTGCGATGAGAACGAAGCCTTGCCAGGTACTCCCAGACCCGGTGTCCGTTTCTGACTACCACCATGTAAACGGCCACAGTAAAATACATGTCCTGAATCGGAGCCAAAGAGCAGAAGTTATTCCTTTTTCAGTTTTGTAACTTAAAAATCATCACCATGTTTTTCATACTAATGCTGCCTTTAGGGTACTTTATCCAAAAGGAGATTTTAGTCTGTCTGAGCAAGTAATAAAATCACACCCATTTTATAGGTGTGAACCTTTATAAACTAAGGTTAAAAGTAGATAACACGCCCAGTCACTGAGCCGCCGCCGAGGACTCAGCAGCCTCCCCCTTGAGCCCCCTCGCTTCCCGACGCTCCATCCCCCCCGCCCGCCTTCTCCCGCCGCCGCCGCCTTCCGCAGGCCGTTTCCACCGAGGAAAAGGAATCGTATCGTATGTCCGCTATCCAGAACCTCCACTCTTTCGACCCCTTTGCTGATGCAAGTAAGGGTGATGATCTGCTTCCTGCTGGCACTGAGGATTATATCCATATAAGAATTCAACAGAGAAACGGCAGGAAGACCCTTACTACTGTCCAAGGGATCGCTGATGATTACGATAAAAAGAAACTAGTGAAGGCGTTTAAGAAGAAATTTGCCTGCAATGGTACTGTAATTGAGCATCCAGAATATGGAGAAGTAATTCAGCTACAGGGTGACCAGCGCAAGAACATATGCCAGTTCCTGGTGGAGATTGGACTGGCTAAGGACGACCAGCTGAAGGTTCATGGGTTTTAAGTGCTTTTGGCTCACTGAAGCTTAAGTGAGGATTTCCTTACAATGAGTAGAATTTCCCTTCTGTCCCTTGTCACAAGTTTAAAAACCTCACAGCTTGTATAATGTAACCATTTGGGGTCTGCTTTTAACTTGGACTAGTGTAACTCCTTCATGCAATAAACTGAAAAGAGCCAAAAAAAAAAAAAAAAAAAAAAGTAGATAACACGCAAAGGTAAGGGGGGGTGTTAGAAAGCATCTGCCTGACACTGGGGCCTTCTTTCCGGTCCCCACCTCATTCTGCGTGGAAAACTGAAACCCTGACTCTTTTTGCTTTTGTCCTCCCTTCTCTGTATCCAGCCCCACAAAATGAAAAAGGTATGAGTAACACGGCTGAGAGTGAGTCAGGAGTGTGCGCAAGACCAGCCTAAAGGGAAAGGGACACCTGACTCGGGAGCTACAGGGGCCCGCAGGCTCAGCGGCAAGCCTATGAAGGTTTGGAGCACACAGACCAGGGTAGAGGCCGGGCACACAGGCAGGGGTGGGGGCGCAGCAGGGACGTGGGAAGCAGCGGTGGCTCTTCCCCCTCACCCAACATCAAGGCAAGACGAGCGCATGGCAGACCAGGAGAGCTGGCAGGAAGGGAGAGGCTAAAGGTCTCAGAAAATCTTTACTGAGCTTAAGAGCCCTATTCATAGAGGGAAGGAACGGAATCCAAAACACCGGGGGAAGACGGTGCTTTGAGATAAATGAGAATGTCATCTTGTCAAAAATCAAAGAGAAAGATGAAAGAACGGATGCTGAGGAAGGGGTCCAGAAACCAACACACCGAAATGAGCTGTCAGGATGGCAGAGTCAATCCCTGCCTGCACGTCCTGCGGCCTAGGCTCGTTTGGAGCGACAGCCCCTCCTCTCTCTATAGAGGCCTTGTGGAGACACAGTTCACACCGCACACAATTCACACCTTTAAAGTGTATGACTCTGTGGTTTTCAGTGTATTCACAGATCTCACCACCACCATTTTAGAGCATGTTCATGACCCAAAAAGAACCCCGAATCCATTAGCACCCCCTCCCTCGCCCCCCCTCCCCCAAGCCTTCTCTCCCTTTTGGTGGTAAACAAGGTTGCTAGATTCCCTGGACAGTTCCCAGTGGAAACACTTACAGCAGTTGCCATGTACTGGGAGTCATGGGAGAAGCTGACATGAGTCACACTGGTTCTGGAATATTTGAAAGGCTCTGGGATTTGGTTTTCTAAGGACATTGCATCAAGAATGTAAACTGTCCCCTCAGTGAAGCCAGCTCCAAGAAGGGCTCCTGAAATCACAAGCCAGAGAACAATGCTGGAAAAGGGACTTCATTCCTTCAAAAAACACCGGATCCAGGCCAGGCCGTGCTCTAGGAGCTGAGAAGACAACAATGAACTTGACAGACCAGGACCCTGGCAGGAGAGATAAACGGAAAAGCATGAGGCTCTGGGGTGAGCGCTCAGACACTAACTAGGCACCGAGAGCTGCAGGGTCTAGGACAAGGCGTCTCATCTAGCCTGCTGGGGGGAGCGTGGCCAAAGTAAACTTCCTGGAAGCTGTCACAGCCAAGGGCACAGCCATCTGGGTCTGTTTTTGACTTGGAGCCCAAGATAGGCCAATATAATGAAAATACCTTCAGGATTGTAGGTTAGACTCTGGACGCCAAGCCCCTTCTCAAAGACCCTGCTGAAAAGGTACTTTTTCTTCTCATAATCCCACACTTTGATCATCCCACAGAAACTGCCAATGGCGATGAGGGGCTGGTACGGGTGGCAGGAGATGGCACAAATGGCATCCTTGGGCTCCACGAATAACTTCTCAAGTTTGGTCCCATCTGTCGTTAAGTGGTACACTGTCGCATCCGATGTTCCAATGATAAGATTCCTGTTTGCCAAGAAGGGACCCAACAGTATCAGTGTTTGCGGCGCATGGGGCACGGAGGCTATTCTGCTTCTAATTGCACATGAAACGCCTCTGTCGTCTGCAATTTAGTGACATTATTAACCCAGCGTCTCCAAAAATATACTACCAATACCCAACAGCCTCCATTTGCAAGTGAAAAAGCCCACATTTCTACATGTAAATGGAGTCATTAAGTATGCAGATGGACAGTCAGTTGTACAATTAGCTAATCTGCACATGCAAATATTCATTTGTGTATGCAAATATGGAGTTTGGTGCACACATACAGATGTGCCTGCAAATGCTGCAAGGGTAATTAAGCAGACTCGCAGATAATTCAGTCTTGAAATGTTATGGCTATTAATTATCAAATGCCTTTAACCACAGCACTAGGACAAACTCGGCTTCAGGAGAAGATACCAAGCTCTAGCAAAGGCCTTCAAACACAACAGAGACTGCAGCTCAGGGATAAAAGCCCTTTCCAGTTTCCAGTCGCTAAAGATCCTTAATACGCATACAATGCTTCTTTTAAAAAAAATGACTGAATGGTGATTCTAATCAGCTGCGGAGATCCACCTGCGGCCCTGAGAAGGACCGAAGAGGAAATCCCGCTCTGTCTCGTGTCCCGGGAGCAAGGTGGACATTCCACCGCGTGCCAACCGACAGAGAGGGCAGCAATCATTTCTTGGCCATTCAAAGGACTAGATTCATTAACAACCTACCTTACAATAAAAAGGTCACCTTTTAGAGTGCTGTCTGGAGGATAGTTTGATTTTTCGGTGGGGGGAGCTGCTGGGGTCTTGGAAAACGACAGGGTCCTTATAGAGCTCAATCTGAAGCTGCTGTACCAGTTAACAATGGACAGGGTCCGATCGTAGAACTTAATGTTACCTCTAATATCACCTGTGACGATATAGCTGAAATGGAGAAAAACATCCGTCTGGGAACTAACAGTAGTAAGTACCACCTACTGAACACCTAATTTTGTGTCCAGCTCTGGACTCCAGGTGTTGTAAAAATTTCACTTTAATATTGTCCTACGAGGCTGATTTTACTGTTGTTCCACTTTACATCTGGGAAACTAAGGCTCAGAGAAGTTGAGAAATTTGCTCAAGGCCCGGGGTTGCCAAATTTAGCAAATAAAAAATGCAGGACGCCCAATGAAATTTGAATTTCAGTGAAGCAAGCACTAATCTTTCAGCAGAAGTATGTCCCAAATACCGCTGGAGACCGACTTACACACGGCAGCCCCATCAGGCCCCATGGCTAGACTGTGCGGGGATCCAGGTGTACCCAATGCAAAGCACATGCTCTCGCTCTCCTCTCCCTGCCCTCCCACATCAGCCATGTGCAGTGGCAGTGGGCAGTGACTGACATTCTCTGCCACGAGACCACAGAGGACAACAGAGTCCGTCCACCAGCCCTCTGAAATCACACAGCTTGGTGAAGGCACACAGGCCACTTTACGGGAGGGCACTGCTGTCAGAGCCATATAAAACCCTGTCCAGCTGTCAGAGCCGAAGGCAGTGTCGCATGACAAAATGGCTTTTATTTCCAGTCCTCAGATCCATCCCAAATGGGCTTTTTTTTTTTTTAAGCTTCTGGCATAAGTCTAATCATGGTGGGGGGGGCAGGATGGGGGATGAATTTCCTCTTATAGATGCAAAGTGATTAAATGCAGTTTCTGATTAATAAGCCAGGCAGGTGGGCAGAGTAATTGGCGAGAGCCTCTTTCACTGCCCTCTGCTGGGAAGAAATGGCAAAACAGGCCAAGTGTTTTCAAGATCCTTGGTTGGGGGGCGCCTGGGTGGCTCAGTGGGTTAAGCCTCTGCCTTCAGCTCAGGTCATGATCTCAGGGTCCTGGGATCGAGTCCCACATTGGGCTCTCTGCTCAGCAGGGAGCCTGCTTCTCTCTCTCTCTCTCTGCCTGCCTCTCTGTCTACTTGTGATCTCTCTCTGTCAAATAAATAAATAAAATCTTAAAAAAAAAAAAAAAAAGATCCTTGGTGGGTTCCCTCATCCTGGCTGGGTTTTATTTACCACGGAGAGAAGGGAACCCAGGCCTCATCTTCACTGGGCCCTAGCCCCCCAACTAATTAAAGGCTGATTCATCATCAGCTGCAATTCTACTACCATCTTTTCCATACCCCTGAGTGAGGACAATTTGCATTTCTCTTTGTAAAGATGTGCCAGGACCTCACCGCTCTCTGTATTAAAAGAAATGAAAAGGAAAGCAGGGCTGTTGGAAAGCAGATGGCACAGTGACTCCAACCACATGTGCATGGTCCCTGTCATAAGGCAGAGTCCTCCGTCCCTGTCGGGAACTTCTCAAGCAAACGGATAACGACGATTTCATTTAGAGCTCCTCTGTGCCAGATAAGGTACTAGAGTTTTACGTGGCTTATCTCACAAAAATTCTCATAAAAATCACTCTGAGGGAGAGGGTCATGCCTATTTTGCAGGTGGAAAAATGGAGGCTCAGCCAAGTTAAGTCCCTTGCCCCAAGTCGTTCAGCAAGGAAGGGATACGTCTGGAAATTGAACCCCTTTCTGTCTGAGACTAAGGCTTTTAATGACACTCTCTGAGCCCCCACAGCCTCTCCAGTCAGCGAACTTTTAAAGTCCTGTTGTATTTCACCTTTTCATAATGGGTAAGTGTTATTTTGTAATCAGAAAAAACAATATGGGGCACCTGGGTGGCTCAGTGGGTTAAGTCTCTGCCTTCGGCTCAGGTTGTGATCCCAGGGTCCTGGAATCGAGTCCCACATGGGGCTCTCTGCTCGGCAGGGAGCCTGCTTCCCTCTCTCTTTTTCTCCGCCTGCCTCTCTGCCTACTTGTGATCTCTGTCAAATAAATAAACAAAATCTTAAAAAAAGGAAAGAAAAAACAATATAGCTATTTATGTTATTTTCTTAAAATTAAAGTACATAATATTTAGGGTGAAAATGACTGTAATTAGTGTGGAAGGAAAAAAACCAGTTTTTGTCTCACCAACACAAAGGGATTTTTTTTAAAGTAATACATGGCCATGGGCGCCTGGGTGGCTTAGTGGGTTAAGTCGCTGCCTTCGGCTCAGGTCATGATCTCAGGGTCCTGGGATGGAGTCCCACATCGGACTCTCTGCTCAGCAGGGAGCCTGCTTTCCTTCCTCTCTCTCTGCCTGCCTCTCTGCCTACTTGTGATCTCTCTCTGTCAAATAAATAAATAAAATCTTAAAAAAAAAAGTAATACATAGCCATGATTTTTTTTTAAAAAGCAAACCAATTAGTACAAATGAGATAATAAGAAG